GGAGGAGGAGGAGCAGATAGAGAGTTTCGTTTCGTATTTGGTGGTGTCAACCGTGTGTTTTGCGTCTGCGGCCACGGTCAGCCTGCAGACGGCGTGGATCCCCAGCATTTGTCTAGGGCACCTTTTCGAGCCCCATCCCCCTCTCGGGGGTGAGCATTGCTCTCCTCAAATAGGGATGCTTTTTGGCACCAGACGAATACCGCCCTCCACTACGGGTCATGGGCTTTATTGAGAGAACGACCACTAGCCTGGGCCGTCTACGTCACTGCATGACGCCCTCGCCATAGGATTTTAGACCATGAGGTAGAGGGTAGAGAGAGTGAAGGGCGGATAAAAGATACGCAGGAGTAGAACGGGACAAGTTTTCTAACCACTGTGTCAGTAGCTTATTTAGTGATGAAATGCAGGTGTGAGCATGTAAAGACAAACAAGCGGTATTCAGCCTACCTGGTGGGTCATTTACCTTTTGGCCTCCTGCGGCGTTGCAGACGGAGCCTCATCTTGGGGATGGCGATGCAGTGAGCCGTATGACGTACTGGACGCGTGAAATAGTGAGGACACACGCGTTCGCAAGCAACCAATGTATTCTGCCCTCTCCAGGCCCGAGTTACAGCGCAATCGTACATTTGTCTGCACCTTTCCAATAGCAATATACGCGTACAGGCCTGAAGAGAATTTATCGACAGTAGATGTATGTCAGCCAAGTTGTTTTTTGAACTTTTAAACGAGAACTTTCACAACTCTAAAATATCATAAATTGTAGCAGATGATGCATGAAATTTTTAGGATGCTCGTCGGGACAAAGAGAGCTCGGGCAACTAACTCGCTTGGCAGTCTAAGGGTGGTACCGAAACCAATTCGGCTAGGCTGATGTCCAGATCTGACTTTACAGCCGCATAAATGCCAAGAAATGCAAGGGGTAATCTGTTAGACCACTTTGATGGGGTCCCTGCGGCACACAGGTCTTTAACTGACGGTGAAAAAGTTCAATCATGCCGTTGGCTGCTGGGTGGAAGGCCATCGTCCGAATACGTATGCGGTCAAGATAGCTGAGGGGGGCTTCGAAAAGAGATGACTTGATCTAGGTACTCCCATCGGTCATAACCTTTGATGGGTTTCTGAAAATGACGACTCAAAAACTAATGAGATCTTTAACGGTGGCATCTGCCTCCACGCTCTGCACAAGGATGGCTTCAGCACAGCGAGCGCATTGATCGGTCGGATTTGGTTATGTAGCCCCACCTGAAGTAAAGAAATCCCAGTCACCTCTAATACGGGACCGGTGGTAATAGGGGCTTTGGCTAGATCGCAGTTGGTAGCCAGGAATGGGGAAGAGGACGGCGACCTTAACCCCAACTCTAGCCTTAACCTTAAACGTTAACCGTTAACCCTACCGGCAACCTTAACCCTAACCGAAGTCGTAAACGTAACCCTACCCCTTAGACATAGCCCTAACTGTAAAGCCTAGCCGTAATACTGAAACCTAATCGTACGCTCAAACCCTGACCGTAACCCGAAAACCTAAGCCTAAAGGCATAACCCTAACCCTAACCCATTAACGGGTACCCTAATCCTAACCTCAAAAGTAAACCGGAAGCCAAATGGATCAGATGTGATTATGGAACCCCACAAAATAGACCCAGTAAACAGCCCCCCCCCGGGCACCTGTAATACGGGTCTGGCTGCCAACTGCGATCTAGCCGGGATTTTTACAGGGGGGGGGGGCGGGGAACGCACAGGCGACGGGGTCAAATAGTTGTATGCAAAAGAAAAGCTATTGGGAATGCGCGGTTGTACTTTGAATGATTGAGATATAGTTGCGCTAACCCCTAATCCTTAACCCCAATCCCGACAGTATTTTGTCCATTGGGGGGAGGGGGGGGGGCTACCGAACCACGTCTTACCCACGAATGACTGTAAGCTCATCCTTACGGAATCGAGCTACACTTGGCGCGCAAGTACGTCAAAAGCTGTTTTTGGAGATGCGCTTTAAGTCATGCACGGCAGCTACTGTTGCGCTGTGTTTTCTAACGTCCTGTATCTAAGGCAGTTCACCCGTCTGAGTCAACCTTAGCCTGCGGCTCTATGAACTCGAGTATCCAAATTCATATGCCCACTAAGGCTGCTGATGCAGCCGATCCCGAATTTTGATTGAAGGGGCATCATTCTCCATAAGTTTGAAATAGTTTACTCCAAATTTCTCTCAACCGCATGCAATATTGCACCGAGAAGGAACAACAAGCTATCCTACTTCTTGAATAAGGTTTGACAGTGGTACACGAAATGTGAGGATTAAGAAGACCATGGAATAAGCACTTTCTTGATACCGACAATTTGCCGGACTGATACTTGTACCTGCTGATCCTTCTTTGCAATTTTTCCAACAACCCATGACTGACACCAACGTTTGTCTGCAAGAGAGCCGTCTCCTCTTAATGCCTTGCGGCTTATCGACTACGAGCGTGAGATTCAAGTCTCTCTTCCTGTGAAAATCTGGTACAATAGGTGGGCTAACTCGTGAAGCGCCAACCGAAATTCCACAATGCGTTCTCGTTTCGAAAAGATTTATTAAGTAGAGTTGTAAAACTAATCATTATGCAGCATAATTCTAAAATAATTAAGTCACCTCGGAATGCCAGCATTCTAACAAACTTCTTTTCGACGACTGTAAAAGTCCAAATGTATTTCATGTAAAACATGAAGAAAATATTCATTCTTTTGCTCATTCGGTAGAAAATTACGCTTTCTTCCATTTTTATACTCAAAGGAAGGGTGTAATTCGGTTCTCAAAAACTTTTCCAATTCCCGAATAATTTCGAGTCCCGAACTGCCGTTACACTTGCATTCAGGGTTTCCAAAATACAGGCCGTATATTTTCCGCCTACGGAAAACCATACATTTCTCTACGGTATTAAGAAGAGGCCATGCGGGGTTCATACAATTTGGCAGTGGAGTTGAACCGTATTGTTAACCTTAAAAGCCACATTTACAAATGCACAGACATGACGTTTCATGAACAGCCACTTCACAGTATTAAAAAATCTCATAATTAGAAACTTCTTGCAAACCGAATTACACCCTTCCTTTGAGTATAGAAATGGAAGGAGACGTAGTTTTCTACTGAATGAGCAAAAGAAGGAATATATCCATACATGTTTTACATGAACTATAATTGCAGAGGTGAGGAGGTGAGTTTATAAACTAGATGGAAACTAGGGACCTCCGATGTCCAGATGAACGTGGCTGAACCGTGTGTCGGACTGCTGAAGGTGTCTGGTGGAGATTGTTTGACGCTGCGCCTTGTTCTGCTGACAACTCAGACATGACCATGCCCAAGCCTTAACATTCTTGTTCGTGACAGGTCAAACAAACCTTTCCGCGAGAATCTTTTGTGATAATCGAACCCCAGGTGGGAGGTTCTATGGAGAGATTGAAACGCAGATAGAAACATCGAGGCGGGCACGTAGGGACTATGAGAAGGAGTCGCGACGTCACAAAGCATTGTGTCAGTGCCGCTGGTTATGGGAACGTCTGTGAGTTGGAGACCACTAACGGGCTCGTCGCCAGGACAGCTGACTCGTAGTTGCTCAGCCGCCACGGCAGTGAGATTGAACCCGTGCCAGAGCTGGGATGCGGAGATTGAAGTTCTAGGAGCGCGCAAGTCACCTCATTCTTCGTGCAATCAACGTGGCAGATGTCAGCGGTGAGTTTTAAGATGTCGTCCAGATGGGTAATCTCGCTCGAATTTTACCTATCAGAGCGGGATCGAAGGTCAAAAGTCGGCGGCTTATGGTCCGTGAAAATGGTGAAGTCACTACTTTCAAGAATGGGTCGGAAATACTTCACGACCGGGTATATGGCGAGTAGTTCACGACCAAAGGTACGTTGGTGAGCAGCAGCACTAAGTCAGGAGCCAGCGGTGAAAGTTGAACATGCTGAGAAAACGCTGTACCTGACGCTTGGAGTTAGGTGGAGGGAATCACAAATTGCTTCGACCTTGGAGGGTACTCGACGCAAGCCTTCAGTGTCGACGTGACAGTCAAGGAATTCTAGAAAAGACACTCAAAAAACATGCATGGGAGGGTTGATGATGACGCCCTACTTGTCGAGGGGATCAAATTCCACAGCGAGGTGCTCCTTATGTTCTTCACCGTTCCGACTAGCAACCAGCAGGTCATCAATGTAGGCGTAAGTCCACGTAAGACACGGTCGATAAACCTCTGGAACGTTTGGGATGCACTGTGAAGGCCGAAAAGCATAAGGGTGAATTCGAATAAGTCAAATGGAATAGTGACGGCAGTTTTAGGGGTATCCCCTGGGCGACAGGTATATGGTGGACGGAGCGCACAGGCTGGATCTTACCAAAAAGGGCTCCAGCGAAATCCTGAAGATGTGACACTGCGTACTGATCGCGAATGGTCGCGTTGTTGAGTGCACGGTAATC